TAACAAAGTAAAATATATATTAACAATAATATTACAATGAATTTTTAGTAATCATGTGTATTGAATTCAGGATCCTCATTGGAGTAAAAATATTATAGTTTCCCAGTTTTAATTCGGTTTTATGATAGTACCTCATTGCGTAAAAGTTAATTTCCTTAACAATAGATTACTACGGCCGGTCCTGGCGGCTTGTTATAAAACTGAGTTCCTTGCCATAAATTAGAAAAATCAGCCGAGAACACTAACAATCAGCTTATGGTAGAGCAGGCGATAAGGGTTTTACCTGGAAAGTCGCTTCCGTAAATTTTAGTGGCGCTCCTATCTGTAAAGTACTGAACTAACGGCTCAAAATCTGTCGAATTGATACCCATTTTTTTCAATAATTGTTAGTTTTTGTTAAAAACTCTGCTAAGCAATAGATCATTAATTTTCCTCTGATATTCCTGTTAAAATTATTCGACGTATTTTGCATTAATTTGTGATATATTTTGATTTTAATAAACACATTATTATGTAAACAAATTGTACCACTGACAAACATTTAATGACTCTGCTCCCTGTAAAAAGTGATGTTTTATCCATGTGCGAATTTTCAAGCGATTCTATGACTCAAAAAACTTGAAAAGAAAACATACAATAGTGCTTTTTTACGATATTTCTCAGCCATATTTTTTTAATTGGTTGAACTGGTCTCTGCGCTCTAGAATATGAAAAAAGCTGCAGTTTGATGTAGATACATCTATATTAATATCATTTTTTCATACATGAAACCAAAAAAATATTATACCTCGTCTAGCGAGTCCCCTTAACGAGTTTGATTCTTGATACCTCAACTTTGGTAGACCAAATTTTGTACACTGACTTCTTCTATAGTTTACAATTTCTTGTATTTTCTTAGGCCATTCTCGAGATATTCCCCCCATATTTTGGAAGCAAGTTATACTACAAAAAAGTTCCGCATAATTATTTCCAACTTTTTGAAAACTTTCTCATAAATGTAAAACATATATTATTTTCATTGTAATTTACCACTACATATTTAGCTGAAACTTGAAAGTTGATGTATAATTTTGTACGTAACGCCACTGAAAATTTGTCTGACAGAAACAGAAAACTAAAATCTAGAGTCCCTAGATATACTTTACAGGGTATATCATTTAGCAAAATCAGTCTATCCTGGCTGGAAGTCCCTTTTACCACTGTTCTTCTAGAATTTGAAAAAATCTGTAGAGATTTCGCAGTCTATTATGCAAATTAAACTATTTGAATCAACAACGAAAATTCAATTCTTTGAATTGTAGATTTCAAAGCACAAAATTTCACATTCTAGATCTACATCTTGTGGATTGCTTAAGTTGTTACAAATAATATGTGGTTTTAAATCTCTTGCATCTATATTCGTGGTCCGTAACTCCTCTCTTTAGATGGTAGATCTTGAAATTCTAGATCTGAAAAAGTCGTCTGAACGTCGTTTTCCTTGAAATTGCTATTTTGTTGCGGTCTATAGAATCTATCAACACCATGGACGGTAGATCATTTGGCAAAATCAGTCTTATCTTAACAAGTACTAGCCCTCTAGGAAAAAAAGGACGGGTGGGCGGGGCTAGTGCTTGTCAAGATAAGACTGATTTTGCTAAATGATATACCCTCTACCCTTTATTTTTTTTAATAGTAGGTCATTTGCCAAAATCAGTCTTATCTTGTCAAGTACTAACCCCGCCCACCCACCCTCTCTTTTCTTAGAGAGTAGGTCATTTGCCAAAATCAGTCTATCCTGGCAAGTACTAGAATAGGATATAGTAGATGAGTAATCTCGAATTACCAGATACTTCAGCGTCTTTAATTGTGTCTTTATTGAAACTTATAATTCTGGAATAATAATAAATAACTGTTTTAAATAGCGTAAAGTTTTATGCTTTCTAAGAAATGGATACCGTTAACCTGGTCATTGCTACTGAAAATTGTAAGTATCGACAACAATGTTTATATTTCTGGCATATTTTGTAACCTTTATTTTAATAAAACATAACCTAACGAAAAAAATTCAGGGAATTTTTATTCTTCTGCATCGAACACCAACAAACTCACTAGATTTTCATGGCCAACCCTACTATATAAAGATCGTGAACGGATAACAGTTAACTCGCGCTGTCAAAGTTACTGCCAACCAAAAATAAATACATATTTTTTCACTAATGGCAAGTATACAGGGTGCCGCATCCAAGTCTGGATATAGGGAATTAACATGCGAATTGGTTTTTATTTTATAATATCTCCCAGATCACTTTGAAGCTATTATTGAGTGATGCCTTTGTGGGGGTCGAAGAGGGCTATCGGCCAGTATTTTTTTCAAATCGTTGCATCGCGCTCATACACTGTAAAAAGGTTTTAAAAATGGTATTTTGAAATTCGCGCCCGATCCGATTTGTCGCGAAATGTTCCGTCGTACTGTCGAAGTTCGGCGATCGCGTCTTTCCAATAACGATGCAAAATCCAAATGTCAAAACGAAATTAGAAATTATTCTCATCAGAAATCAACGAACAACTCAAACTGAATTATTTTATCCAGTGTGATGATTATTGTAGGACAAATTAAACGGAATAAATGCACAAATTGATCCATTCATTCGTCATAGTGCGCGACCCCGTCAAACGAGCCATTTCGAACTACACTCAGACCGTATCCGAAAAGCCCGAGATGAAGACTTCGAGCAGCTGGTCTTCCTCAAAACCCCATCAAATCCCATCGGCAGTATTGTGACATTTTCTGGGAGCCATCAAGCTAGGAATGTACTCGCGCTGCCTCACTCAGTAATCACTGAACGACTCAAATTGAATTATTTTATCCAATATGACGATTATTGTAGGTCAATTTAAACGGAATAAATGCACAAACCGCACAAAATATTTTATTAGGTTATGTTGCTGGTGCTGGTCGAGTCTTCATTACTAAAATCTCATTAAAATGCCATGTTCTACTGCAATTAGATGAAAAATCGAGGGCCCGCTTTTCTTATTGTGTGATGATAAGATTTACCATCATAACAGCTGGCGCTTTTGAAGAGGACCTTTTAATGAACCATTTAGATAACTACAAATAACAAAACGTAACAATTGTTGATGAATTAAGTAATGAAATATTGTACGAATCTGGAGAAGTATTGCACTATTTTCAAGAATTGCTCAAAAACACTGCTCTCAGCAGCTGTACAGTAAGTAAGCCGATCTTCAAAACTCCTACGCGTGTTGATCAGCATTTTAGTTGAAATCTGAAGACAATATTGCTGGATTGCTTGTTTCAGCGCTTCTCTGTTTGTATAGCTTGTCTGAATGCAGATGGTCGTGAAGAAATCTCCAAAGAAAAAATTTCTCAGGGGTTTAGATCTGGAGATTTGGTCCTGGATGTAAAAGACCTGCTGCAGATGCCACACCCTTCGAGTCCCAGGAAGTATTTGCTGAGCTAGCATATTATCCTACTTCTGAGCATTCAATCCGGATTCGATGAAAAAAGGTGCAATGACATGATGTCCTAGAAACCCCAGTCATACACTGACAATTGCACGCCATTGATAACGAAGGTCATGGACCACGTGAGGGTTGTCTAATGCTCAAATTTGATCGTTCTGAAGATTATAACTTCCCTTAAGACCAAATGAACGTCAGTAAAACAAATGTTCCTCAAAAACTCTCCATCAGCCTAGATTCTCTCAAGCGTTCCTTCGTAAAACTCTATATGTGAGAAGTAGTCCTCAGGCTTCAATTTTTTGTCGTGATGCTTTTTGAAATTCTTCTATCTCATCTGTTTAAGATTCCTAGAAAACGTCGTGCCCACCTGATTTTATGTAATTTTTATCACCTTTGAAAATAAATGTAACTTTATTTTGCGAAATATTATTTTTATTTTTGTTGTTAACACAATAAACAAATAAAACAGTAATACAAAAGTTTCTGAATCCCAAAACACATTCGTAATAGAGAAAAATACTTTAAAATGTTGATGAGTCAATGTTCTACATTTCTCTCTCAAAAATTTCCTGTAATGAAGATGCTTCCTGGAGGCAAAAAATCCATCCCTGCTTAACGAATGTAAAATCAATTGACTTCCAATCTTTAGTGATTCCAAAAAAAAAAGGGTGAAATCTCTCCAAATTACCTACTAATTAAATTAACCGTTGAAGAACATGCAGGTGATGCAGGCCCCCGCTTTTTCATTTAATCGTAGTTGAACATAGCATAACCTAAAAAAATATTTTGTGCAGTTTGTGCATTTATTCCGTTTAAATTGACCTGCAATAAATCATCACACCGGATAAAATAATTCAGTTTGAGTTGTTCGTTGATTTCTGATGAGAATAATTTCTAATTTCGTTTTGACATTTGGATTTTGCATCGTTATTGGAAAGACGCGATCGCCGAACTTCGACAGTACGACGGAACACTTCGCGACAATTCGGATCGGGCGCGAATTTCAAAATACGATTTTTAAAACCTTTTTACAGTGTATGAGCGCGATGCAACGATTTGAAAAAAATACTGGCCGATAGCCCTCTTCGACCCCCACAAAGTCATCACTGAATAATAGCTTTAAAGTGATCTGGGGAGATATTATAAAATAAAAACCAATTGCCATGTTAATTCCCTATATCCAGACTTGGATGCGGCACCCTGTATAATTGTTGACTTGGTTCGAGGTAGCGACGTTCAACTTTACTATTATTTATTTTTTAATATATACCCACTAGATTTAAAAAAGTGGTGGATTTTGTATCTACGAGGTTGGTAACAATGTTGCGCGGCAAATTCTTAGTAATTGTTTAAATAAAGAACGGTTTTTTTAACATCTGAGGGCCCCACTTTGAGAAGGGTTTTTAGGATTCTGAAGTAGATTAATAAAAATCTTTTCAGACATAACACAACTTTTATTTTTATTTTTAAAATATAACTAATTTTAAATATATATTATTAATATAATTTATAAATAAATCAACACTTGAGTTTTGGAGAACATCACATAACATGACACATTTAAACCCGTTTAGACGATAAAAACGTTTTCTTAATACAACAAAAACCTTAAAAAATTTTCTGACGTGTTGGAATTTGTACTCCTAGACATTTTATCATTTTTTTGAATTGAGTATAATTTCGGTTATTATTCGAATTATCTAAATGTTGAAAGTACCCTTTGATGCCATTAAATTTAAAAATACTAGGTTACTACATCTAGAATTGTTTCCACAAGGAAATATTACATAACGTCAAGATCTTACTTCATAGTGTCCAATTTTTACCGAGTTTGCGGATACTATGTGATCAACATAAAACTAGTGTCAAAATTTAAGTTATTGTTTTTTCCCTTTTAACGGTCTTTTCATCCACATGGTGCTCCTGTACATGACTTTTCAAATTCAACCTGTATATACTTTTGTACAAACACTTTTTACATTTATACCATTTAATATCACGTCCATCCAACGTCTGTGCATGAACATTCAAATCACATTCTTTTTTAATACTGGGCTCATCCAAATGACACGCCGCTGTGTGCTGCTTCAAATTCCCTTTCTGTTTGGCTTTAAAATCGCACTTATCACATTTGAACCACTTGATATCCCGCTCGTTCAAATGATGGGTGATTACATGCTGTTTTAAATTCGAATTTTGTTTGGATTTATACGGGCACTTTTGACATTCATACCACTTAATATCTTTTTCTTTCAAATGGCGCGCATTTACGTGACTTTTCAAGTGAGCCCCCTGTTTAGTTTTGTATGGACATTTGCTGCACTTGAACCACCGAACATACTTGTCGTCCAAATGTCGCGCATTCAGGTGTCTATTCAAACCCAATCTTCGCTTAGCTTTATACGGACACTTATCACATTGATACCACTTAATACTCTGGTCGTCTGTATGCCGAAAATATATATGGTCTTTTAAGTGGCCTTTCTGTTTGGTTTTGTAGGAACATTTCGAACAGTTGTACCAATACACTTCGTCGTCGTTCGAGTGCATACAAATTTTGTGTATTTTCATGGAATTTCTGTACCTGAAGCTGCGCTGACATTGTTTACAGGTGTAAAGTTTCACAAGAGTTTCTCTGGGGTTCTTGATGTACGTGAACATCTGGAAACTTACTTCTTTACTGAAACATGTCGTGGTGTGTTGGAGCCATTTAATGACGAAATGGGTTTCAAAGTCGCATTTTTCGCAAACGTAGTTCTGGATGGAGACTTCCTCACTGGGTGAACGGTCTCTGGATTGTAGTTTGAGCCTATGTTTGATAATGTGTTGTTTGAAGAGGATGGTTAAGCCGGTTTGGAAACGACAATCCCTGCAATAGTAGGTTTCGATTGCGGTGGTGCAGTTGAAGAGGGGTAGTGCTGCATGGTGACGTTTGACGTGGTTGAGCAGGAGGAACGTCGACGATGTGAAGTAGGGGCATTTTTTGCAACGGATGTTTTTTGACGAACCTTTCAAGTCAACGATGAACCTCGTAGAGTACTCCAAAATTGACATTTTGGTTCCTAATTTAGTACATACCCAATTTATAACGGAATTTGGTGTTTTTATATTTTCTTACCTAGCAAAAGTGTGGTGTGATTCAACACTTCACAGTCGAAGAAATTTCGAAATTTCACTTAAATTTATTGATTTATTTACTGTTGCTTCAGGGAAAATCGTTCAGATGAGAAGCTTCAATATTTCTTTTAAATTCAAGTACCTCAAAAGCATAGATTTTTGAAAGGGAAACCTCCCCAACACCCCAACATAACCTCTAAAAATTAAAATCGTTAAAATCTAGGCAACCCACAATACACTTGTAATAATCTCCTCCATAAACGTAAAATTATGTAGAGTCTACTAAAATTGTAATTGTAGTTTAGGGAACACAAAAGAAAAACTTATACAGGATGTTCATTTTATCTGTTCACGCCTGAATATTTCTGCAAGAAGCCGTGGTATTTGTGTGATGCATTGAAGTTTTTGGAGCCTCAATATAGAAAAAGGCCAGCAGAAAAACTATTATGAGAACAAAATACCAGGTCAAATGATGGAGCAGCAGGTTGACATATTTGACCAGAGAACATAGAGAAGCGTCATCGTTTAAATTAAATGACTTATGTTGGCAACAGTGTTTGTTTCTAACTAGGAATAAAATTAACTAGAAAAAATGTCATAATATTTTTAACTACGCGTTTTATTTTCGACAAATTGACACTAGATTTACCAGAATACTATAATTCAAGTCACACGAATTACAGTTCCTCGTCTGAGAACTTGTTTGATCTACAGACCAGAGCGCACTCAGGCCAATGTCGACTCTAAGCGTTCGGAAACGATTTGATTTATAAACCATGATCCGTGATCTCATACCCATCCTAACCGGTTTCGACCATAATTTCTTGCTGTTTCAACTTTCGAATTCTCAGTTTTTCGAAATTTTAGTTTGGGGACTTTACTTTACTCCTATTTATTATTCAATATTTGATTTTACAATTTCTCAATTTTTCAATTTCTCGGTTTTCAGTTTTTCTCTTCAATTTTACGATTTTTAAATATTTCGATTTTTCAATTTTTGACTTTTATAAACTCTTTATTTGTCGATTTTTCAATTAATTGATTTTTCAGGTTTTTTGGTTTTTCAATTTTTCTATTTTTTCAGGTTTCGATTTTTCAACTTCACTTTTTTGATTTTTCGATTTGTCAATTTTTCAATTTTTTAATTTCTCAGTTTTTGGACATTTCAGTTTTGGGATTTTTCAGTTTACTTATTATTCAATTTTTTGATCTTACGATTTTGCAGGTTTTTGATTTTTCAATTTTTCGATTTGTTTTAGGTTTCGATTTTTCGACTTCACTTTTTTCATTTTTCGATTTCTCAATTTTTCGATTCATTAGATTCTCAGTTTTTGGATATTTCAGTTTTGGGATTTTTCAGTTTTTCGATTCGTCAGTTTTTCTTTCCTTTTTCAGTTTTTCGATATTTCAGTTTTGGGATTTTTCAATATTTTTGTTCTTCGACTTTTCCATATTTGACTTCTGGATTTTTCGATGTGACGACTTTTTACTTTTTCGATTTTTAAATTTTAGATTTCTCAATTTTTTGGTATTTTAATTTTTCAATATTTAAAATTTTAGATTTTTCGATTTCTCGATTTTTCATTTCAGCTCTTCCATATTTCAATTTTTCAAATGTTTCGATTTCTCAATTTTTCGATTTTTTGACTTCCCGGTTATAGATTTTCTGTTTTTCAATTGTCGTTTTTTCAAATTTTCGATTTTTCAATTTTTCAAATTTGACATTTATAAACTGTCAATTTTTCGATTTTTCAATTAATCGATGTTTTGATTTTCCCAGTTCTAGACTTTCGAGGGTTTCGATATTCCTGTTCTTCAATTCTTTAATTTTTCGATTTTTCAGGTTTTTGATTTTTCATTTTTTAATTCTTTTAAGGTTTCAATTTTTCGACTTCACTTTTTGGATTTTTCGATTGCTCAATTTTTTGACTTTTTAGGTTCTCAGTTTTTGGATATTTCAGTTTTCGGATTTTTCAGGTTTTCCATTTTTCAATTTTTCTTTCACTTTTCAGTGTTTCGATATTTTAGTTTTGGGATTTTTCAATATTTTGATTGTTCGACGTTTCGATTTTTGACTCCTGGATTTTTCAATGTGTCCATTTTTTTACTATTTCGATTTTTCAAATGTTTCGATTTCTTAATTTTCTGATTTTTCGACTTCCCGGTTTTAGATTTTTCAATTGTCATTTTGTCAAATTTTCGATTTTTTAATTTCTCAGTTTTTGGACATTTCAGTTTTGGGATTTTTCAGTTTACTTATTATTCAATTTTTCGATCTTACGATTTTGCAGGTTTCTGATTTTTCAATTTTTCGATTTTTTTTTTTAAGGTTTCGATATGTCGACTTCACTTTTTTGATTTTTCGATTTCTCAATTTTTTGATTCTTTATATTCTCAGTTTTGGATATTTCAGTTTTGGGATTTTTCAATATTTCTGTTCTTCGACTTTTCCATTTTTGACTTCTGGATTTTTCGATGTGTCGACTTTTTACTTTTTCGATTTTTAAATTTTAGATTTCTTAATTTTTTGGTATTTGAATTTCTCAATATTTAAAATTTTAGATTTTTCGATTTCTCGATTTTTCATTTCGGTTCTTCGACATTTCCATTTTTCATGTTTTCGAATTTTTCAAATGTTTTGATTTCTTAATCTATCGATTTTTCGACTTCCCGGTTTTAGATTTACTGTTTTTCAAATTTTCGATTTTTCAATTTTTCGATTTATCAATTAATCGATGTTTTGATTTTTCCATTTCTTGATTTTCGAGGGTTTGCTGTTCTTCAATTCTTTAATTTTTCGATTTTTCATTTTTTAGTTTTTTTAAGGTTTCGATTATTCGACTTCACTTTTTGGATTTTTAGACTGCTCAATTTTTCGACTTTTTAAGTTCTCAGTTTTTGGATATTTCAGTTTTCGGATTTTTCAAGATTTCCGTTTTTCAGCTTCTCTTTCATTTTTCAGTTTTTCGATATCTCAGTTTTGGGATTTTTCAATATTTCGATTCTTCGACTTTTCGATTTTTAAATTTTAGATTTTTTAATTTTTAAAATTTTAGATTTTTCGATTTCTCGATTTTTCAGTTCAGTTCTTCGGTATTTGAATTTTTCAAGTTTTCGAATTTTTCAAATGTTTCGATTTCTTAATCTTTTGATTTTACGACTCCCCGGTTTTAGATTCTCTGTTTTTCAATTGTCATTTTGTCAAATTTTCGATTTTTAAATTTTTCAAATTTAACTTTTATAGACTCTCAATTTTTCGATTTTTCAATTAATCCATGTTTTGATTTTCCCATTTCTTGACCTTCGAGTGTTTCGATTTTCCTGTTCTTCAATTCTTTAATTTTTTGATTTTTCAGGTTTCTGATTTTTCAGTTTTTCGATTTTTTAAGGTTTTTATTTTTCGACTTCACTTTTTTGATTTTTCGATTTTTCAGTTTTTAGGAATTTTCAATATTTCAAGTTTTCGGCTTTTCTATTTTTGACTTCTGGGTTTTTCGATGTGTCTACTTTTTCGATTTTTCAATTTTTGGATTTTTAAATTTTAGATTCTTCAATCTTTTTAATTTTTAAATATTTCTTAATTTTTCTATTTTTCGACTTCCTAGTTTTAGACGTCCTGTTTTTCAATTTTTCGATTTGTTAATTTTTCATTCCCGATTTATCGAGATTTGATTGTTCAGGTTTTCGATTTATCAGTTTTTCAATTTTTTATTTTGGCCTATTTCGGTTTCTCAGTTTTTCCAGTTTTCCATTTTTTCGTTTTTTGATTTTTCCGCTATTCCAATTTTCAAACTTTTAACGTTTTGTTTGTCGATTTCTCTATTTTTCGATTTTTCGACTTCATCACTATTCGATTTCTCGTTCTTTTGATCTTTCAATCTCTCAATTTTTCAATTTTTCGAATTTTTTAGTGTTTTGATTTCTCGATTTATCGAGATGTGGATTTTTCGATATTTTGATTGCCAATTTCTCAATTTATAAATTGTTCGATTTTTAACTTTTCGATTTTTCGATTTTGGTCTATTTCGGTTTCTCAATTGTTCAACTTTTCGACTCCACGATTTCTTGATCTTTTGATTTTTCGATTTCTCGATTTTTCGATTTTCCAGTTTTTCGATGTTTCGATTTTTCAGTTATCCGATTTTTTAAATTTGGGAGTTTCGATTTCTCGATTTTTCGTTATTCGGTTTTTAAATTTTAGATTTTTTAATTTTACATTTTTTCGATTTTCAGTTCTTCGATATTTCGATTTTTCAATGTTTCGGTTTTACGATTTTTTAAGGTTTCGATTTTTCGATTATTACATTTCTCGATTTTTGGAATATCGAAACCCTCGAAAATCAAGAAATGGAAAAATCAAAACATCGATTAATTGAAAAATCGAAAATTTGAAAAAACGATAACTGAAAAACAGAAAATCTAAAACCGGGAAGTCGAAAAATCAAAAGATTAAGAAATCTAAAATTTAAAAATCGAAAAAGTAAAAAGTGGACACATCGAAAAATCCCGAAGTCAAAAAATGGAAAAGTCGAAGAACAGAAATATTGAAAAATCCCAAAACTGAAATATCCAAAAACTGAGAATCTAAAGAATCGAAAAATCAAAAAAATAAAGTCGAAATATCGAAACCTTAAAAAAAATCGAAAAATTGAAAAATCAGAAACCTGCAAAATCGTAAGATCGAAAAATTGAATAATAAGTAAATCCCAAAACTGAAATGTCCAAAAACTGAGAAATTACAAAATTGAAAAATTGAGAAATCGAAAAATCAAAAAAGTGAAGTTGAAAAATCGAAACCTGAAAAATTAGAAAAATTGAAAAACCAAAAAACCTGAAAAATTGAGAAATTGTAAAATCCAAAAATTGAATAATAAATAGAAGTAAACTGAAAAGTCCCCAAACTAAAATTTCGAAAAACTGAGAATTCTAAAGTTGAAACAGCAAGAAATTATGGTCGAAACCGGTTAGGATGTGTATCAGATCACGGATCATGGCTTATAAATCAAATTGTTTCCGAACGCTTAGAGTCGACATTGGCCTGAGTGCGCTCTGGTCTGTAGATCAAACAAGTTCTGAGACGTGTGACCTGAATTATTTTATTATTATTATTCCTAGTTAGAAACAAACACTGTTGCCAACATAAGTCGAGGAGTCCTCAACCCACTCAACCGTCATTTAATTTAAACTATGACGCTTCTCTATGTTCTCTGGTAACGTAAACGTTCATGCTCTAACCTCACGTAATATTTTATCTTCACAAGTTTATTTCACACCAAATCTTTTTGTTTTTATAAATCATTGCTAGTAGTTTTACATGTACATATTTTGTTGATGAATGTTTCCATCATATAAATTGTCTGATGTCCAATCTTAATCTCAAATAAAAATTATTTGTTGTTTGAAATTTCACAAAATTATATGGCGAATTTAAATGTTGATTATTGCTCTTT